TATATATATATATATGCGTACGTACGATCCCGCGGAGAAAAATGGTTTGCGAAAGTGGGCTATTCGATTAAAAATGGACCGAGGGAAAAAGCAAAAGACGACTCACCTCAGCTGGCCTCTTCATGCCTTTGATCTCACACTTCGCGTCCCCGGAAGCCTTGTCGTTCTCAGTCACCTTCTCAACGGCGACCTCGTTGTTTTCCTTGCTGCTCATGGTGGACTGATGCGTTGGGCAAGATGCCTGCGTGACTGCTTATAAACGGTGGAAAAAAGACAGGCTGTTGTGTACACGTAACGAAACTCCGTGTCCTCGCGCGGCGTCGGTTTCCGGCGAAATGCCCGAGAGAGCAGCGTCGTCAGGCGAAAACCCAAGGGGGCAGAGGGGCGAGAGAAAGAGGGGAAAGGAGGGTGAGACAGAGTCGAACCAGTCAGGAGTGGAGAGTGTCGTGTACTGACGACTGTGGCGCGAATAGCGCAAAGCGGACTACTACCCGGTCTCGGCTCGCTCCTAGCATATCCAACCTGGCTTTGTTCAAAAATGAAGATGGCGCGGGTTTGAAACTCGATAAATGCCTGATTGGTCGAAACCTTAATAACACTTCCCGGCCTCACACTTACTCTAATTAGAAACTTTAGAACGCTGGATAATATTTCCCTATTTCTCGTATAGATTTCCCACGTAATCCATCCGTCTGACGTATAAATAAAATTAAATCCTGCGGAGGACGAGGGGTTCGAGAGTTCGTGGACTGAGTTCGACGTCTGGTTCGAGGCTACGTCACTCGATTCGAATGAGCCTCGTTGCCGTGAAATCATTTCACCGCTTTAATCGTTTGCTTATTAAACAGAATCGAGAAGTATGCTAGCCGATGAAAATTCTCTGCGAGGAAGAGAATATTCATGGAATTATTTGGTCTCTTGGACAGTACCATCAGTGTGGTAAGTATGGCGGGAATTATACTATAGGTAAAGGACTCAAGCTTTCGGAATCACGCAGACGCACACCTGTCACCAAAAATTCAACACCGAATGTACTACTTTCCGAGTGTTAACGAGTTCATCTATGTACGAAACGAATCTCTCGACCTACTCAGATATCTGGAAACTCTGCCCTGGTATAATAACGTCCCTCAAAGAAAGCTTGTATTTCCAAGATGTTCACGTCAAATGATAAGCTGTACCGACTGTGTCATATGTTTCTGAGAACAAAACGAGAATTACATTATTTTTATCTCGGATTATTACATATTTACATGACTTTCTCGTATCAGCAGTCGTTTAATTAGATAGGAGCAATAATATCCTTTCCTAATGGATTATGATTCATTATATTACCTACATATTGAAACAGACATTACAACAATTGCTGTTATTGATTGATCGTCTTATATATTAAACCAATTTTTGACTGTTAATGGCGTGTAATATGCAATCAAAAATTTGGCTCGAAAACAATTAAAAATAGTTGTACAGCTTTTTATTATGTCTTCGTATCGGACGAATTTTGTAATATAGTATCGCATACAACAGCGTATTAATATTTATGCGATTTAATAAAAAAACAAGCATTTGGCTATCCGAGTTTTGTACAACACGTAACGAAAGCGCAGGCGCATTTAAAGCGATTAATCATCTCAACTTGGAAATGCCCTCCTAATTAGAAAATGTCTCTCTGTGTACATTCAAAGTGAAAAATCACATTTTGAACGAATATAAAATTTGAAGGATAGCAGTTCTAACATTTGTAGCCATTAGTAGCTCGAATGGTTCTGATCAATCCCGATAATGTTCGAGTATTCGATCGACTTGTTTGGTTAAGTTACCTCGTTACATTCGATACGAAAGACAAGACTCGACATTTTTAAAGGCATCGAACAAATATGATCGAGCCCGATAATACCGATCAGAATGGTTTACGATCGGACGGTAGACGAGCGCTAGAATTAAGGCAGATTCGAGTGCGAATGGGTGTTTTTGGTCAAGCCGATGGAAGTGTTTACATCGAGCAAGGTAACACCAAAATTTTGGTTACAGTGTATGGCCCGCACCAGGTGAATAAATTCATATTTTTAATCGGCACATCAACTATTTCCTATTCATCGACAACGTTACGTTCATTTAGCCACGAGGCTCTTCAGGGAGAAGTAATACGACTAAAGGCATAGTGAATTGCCAATACAGCATGGCAGTGTTTAGTTTCTCTTCTGGAGAACGTAAGCGAAAGCCAAGAGGAGATAGGAAATCACAAGAGAGATCTCTTCAGTTGAAACATGCGATGGAAGCGATAATACATTTAGAATTGTATCCACGTTCACAAATAGATATTTACGTAGAAGCGTTACAAGTCGATGGAAGCGAATATTGCGCATCGGTGAATGCGGCAACTCTTGCGCTTATCGATGCTGGGATACCTATCAAGGTAAAATACCTACACACAAGCGTGTAAGACGCAAAAACAAACGATAAATCACTTTAAACAATTTTCTTTTTCACAGAATTATGCTATAGGCTGCACTATAACATCAATAAATACTCTATCTTCGGAAGAGGAGGATAGTGCGCTAGGGAAGGGAGTCTTGGATGCAAATTATGTTGAGGAATGCGCTCCTGGTGTTACTTTGTCCGTTGTCGCATTACCGAATAGCGATGGTATGTCGAAAGATGGCTTAATAGTAGTGGCGCAAGGAGCTGGCCAAAGACTGCATTTGTCTCAGTTTGAATCCTTAAAGACTCGCGTGTTGGGCGGCTGCCAGGATATAAAGACGATCCTAGATCACGCGGTTAGACAATATTTAACCGAGCAATCTCTCCCTTCTCTTTTCCATGTTGCGCTAGATTAAGTACATTGATGTAAACAATTTGAATTTTTTAGTAAACAATTTGAATTTTATCATAAAGAATGTGTACAAAATTTAACAGCATACTTTTCTTAAAAAGAATACATACTTTTTAATTATAAACTATATCGATACTCTGCATAAATAGTGTGTCTCCTTAAAAAAATATACGCTGAAATTCTTTCCAAATGCTCGGGTATATAACTGCTTCTCCTTTTCTTATTCCTCACACCTTGGCTCCAGGATATCTTTCCATAATCATGCCTACAGCCTGTCGTATTATAATATCGTATAATTTAATCGGGTACAAATGAAACCGGACGAATGTAGAGTGATTCCTATTAGTATTTGGACACACTTCGAAATGGAATAACTTTTTTTTAATATTGGATCGAATAACTTAATTTTTCTTGAAACACATACTGGTGCAGTTTGATCGTTTATTCCGGAGACACCTTTTCTATACTGTATAGTGAAACAAGCTTTCTAACGTCTCACAATAAATTAGGTTGTTTAACCCAATATTAAAAAAAGTTAGTCCATTTTAAAATCTCTCCGAACATTAACTTTTAGACCGCCGGCATTAGTCACATGCAAACGTCTTTAGAAAGTCATATGTAATATGATTATATCAAAGATATATGGCATATAAAGTATTCATCAATTCTTGAGCAGATATTTCTGCTTTGCTCCAGTCTAAATGTTAATAGAAATCACTAGATGTCGATAGACGGCGATAGTTGATATTTTACCTGTCCCCCAGCTGCACATGCCGCAATTAGCCCGAATTGCTGGTCTTCTCTAATCATTCGATTGGCGGTATGAGTAGCTAAACGAACTCCAGTAGCCGCGAACGGATGACCAATCGACAAAGATCCTCCCCAAGCATTCCATTTACTAAGATCCGGTGTTCCCACTTTGGTAGATTTACCCATGTAAGTTTGTGCGAACCAGTTCGAATCTAGTGCTTTCAAGTTGGCTAAAATTTGTCCAGCAAATGCCTCGTGAATTTCCCAAACTCCAATGTCCTTCAGATTCAATTTTGCTTTTTGTAATACCTAAAGTTCATTTTAAAAATGTTATGTTAATATCGGCTTATAACAAGGAAATGATAATTATGTATAATAAAGAGACCTGTGGTATAGCATAGGCTGGGCCCAAGAGTAACTGATCCGCAGGATCTTGGGAGACGTAAGTGAAATTTCTCAGATACGCTTTCGGTACAAGTCCGAGTTGCAAAGCCTTTTCTTCCGTCATTATCAAAGCTGCCGATGCCCCATCGGATAAAAAGGAAGCATTGGCAGCTGTAACTCCTCCATACGGTTTAACAAATGCTGGTTTCAATTTTCCTAGTTGCTCGAGCGTTGAAACCCGAATACCATTGTCCTTATCCACTAACTGGTCGACGTTCGGAACTGAAAGAGGTGCTCGAATCGGTCTTTTGATCGATTTCGTAACTACTGATCGTTACCTTTGTAGGGAATCAAGTCTGAAAGATATCCTTGCCTCTGCGCGTTAGCGGCTAGTGTATGGGAACGTAAAGCGTATTCATCCTGTTCCTTTCTCGTTATTCCGAACGCAGCTGCTAATCTGTCGCTGCTATGTCCCATGGTTTCGTTAGTAGAAAACTCTGCTACTGCAGGTAACTATAATCACGTATATAGAACGAAAGTGGTAGTATACAAAATGTGTAGTAGTATACTTGAGAGAAAATTGTATTAGAATACGTACGTCCGGTACGAAATGCCCTGGTCTGACACTCGCGAGGAGTGATAATTTCTGCCCAACCGTTTTTGCTTTGTTAGCTTGTAACATCAACGATCTCATACGTCTGCTATGTCTGATCGGTATATCCGACATGAATTCGACTCCTCCAGCTATGATTACGTCGTACACGCCACAAGCTATCAATCCCATGCCTGTTGTGAGAGCCTGATTGCTACTAATGCATGCCATCGTTACAGTATGCGCAGGAGTGCGGTCACTGTATCCTGCTGCTAAAGCTGCTTCTCTAGCGATATTAGACACGCGTAATTCCTGTATTACCGTGCCATATACGATGTATTCCACGATTTCTTTCGGGAATTTGATCTTCCTTTGCAAGGCCCTACGATAAATAAGATTATGGAGAGCAATATGACGCAAAAATTACAAAATTAATTTTATCTATCAACTTACACCAGCGAGTGTCTGGCTAGATCGTAGGCCATCAGATTTTTGTAAGTCGTCCCGGATTGCAAGAAAGGTGTCCTTACACCATCGACAAATACAATATTTTTAGCAGCATTGTTACTCTTCGTTGCATACGAATTAGTTACTCCCAAGGTGTTTATTGCAAAACCTAATGCACAAATAAATCATATAATTCCGGCACTCTTTATTTATAAAAATTTCTACTTTATGATCATATACAATCTTTCGTACTATGATACGTATTATTTTTGTCTTTTCAACCACCATGTCGTAAATAAAAATACAGCATACCGTACTTAGCGAATCCTTCTTTCAGTAAGAAAGTATGTTTCGCAAGAGAAAGCATTTTGATGTCGAAAATCAAAACTGGTCAGTTTTTTAAATTTGCGTCTCTGCAGGTACTATATGTACCGTTCTATTTTGTAGATGTGCTGTTCCTTCTCACTGGCGTACATACAGCAGGTGTTTATAACTGCACGATGGTATTGGATTGGTATTGGATGGTATGTTGCACCAGAGAGTTTCTCTCTGGTTGCACTTTGACCACGACCTTATACACGGTGATAAAGAAAATTAGTCGATCTCGTTCATAGTGAATAAAGTATTGCTTATAGTGTAATTAATTTTTCTATCCATTTTTCTAACCATCGTATATTGACGCATTTAAATATTCAATCGGAATTACGTTCTAAAATATCTGCAGCAGTCTGGAGTAATTAAGAATATTGATCGAACAAGAGTCAAATATCGTTAAGTGTGATCAATTTTTTTGGATCACTGTATGTGGGTTAGGGCTGGCTGGAACTTATTGGACGCGTATAGATTTCTGCCCAAATGTTGAATGCATGGATAGGGTTGGATAGGGAATTGTTCCTCAACGCACGGCGCTATGATCAAGATTCCTTAAGCCGCACTCGCAGCGCAGTGTCGTTCGTCTCTTCTCATGTAGTAGTAAGTGCGGGAAAAGTGACAGATTTTTCCCGCGTACGATCATACATAGCACGATCTCGTACGCAAACACCGTGTTTTGACAATAAACGTCAATTTAATGTGGTTTCAAAATGAGCTTGGTTCGTTCTATCGTGGAACGTGAAAAAGGATTTGGTAATTTAGTTCGGAATACTTCACGCGATGAAAGATTCGTTGTATTCATTGCGTTAGTAACGTGACACATAGGTTATGCGTTCGATTTAAAACACCATTCCACCTTCTGTCCAATGTTCAAAATAACTGATTTTTCTTTCGTACGATATACTATAATACACGATACACGATATAGACCAGTGTGCTGCAGAACGATCATCTTGAAAGAATAATCACTTTTTTCAGCATCGATACGCGATTACGACGTTGCTCTGTACCGTTTGAAATGTTACGAAAACGATGTTTACCGCGGTATCGTTCCCAATGCGAACGCGAACACCGATCTTTATTCGGAACCGCCAGCGTTCGCGTGTCGATTTTGTACGACGCAAGGATACGAACAGGTGATAGCTTTGGCGAACGAGGATGGCAGGATCGCTTTGCAAGACACGAGCGATACATCGCGGCGGCGGCAGCAGCTGTTGAACGGTGCTCAGGTATCGATAACGTTGTTTGTTCACGTTTTGAAATGGAATGGAACGAGACAGATGAAATAGTAAATCGTCGTGATCTCTTGTATTTGCAGGCACACTGTAACGCGATATTCGACGTCGCATGGATGCCAGGGGAATTGAAATTGGTCACAGCATCGGGCGACCATACCGCTAAATTATGGGACGTAGGCGGTTCCGATATAAAACAAGTCGACTGTTTTCATGCTCATACGAGAAGCGTCAAGACAGCGGTATTTCGTTATCAAGATCAAGGTGCTTTTTTCTTTCTTTTTATACACCATACTTTCTAATTTGCGTCGTCAACATTATCGTTATTATCATCATCATCGTCATCAACTCCTCTGAACCGTGTTGATGATACGTATACGTGGTTCTAGCTGTGTTCGCTACCGGAGCTAGGGACGGTTGTATAATGATATGGGACGTCAGAGCCAGTCACCTGGAACGTCGCAAACCAGACAATTGCATCATTAATGCGCACAATGTTGGAACTTTGAGTAACGTTAGACAACGTAGGACAATCGGTCACGTGTCCAAAGCACAAAGTATCACAGGTCTAGCCTTTCAAGACGATTTTACTTTGATCTCGTGCGCAGCTGGAGACGGGCAAGTTTCTCGACAGAAATATCTGTTTCTTACTTAAATAGAAACTACTACGAGCCAAGACACTTACATTCTCGATAACAGTTTGATAAAGGTTTGGGATTTGCGGAAGAATTATACTGTTCACAAGAGAGATCCAGTGGCCAAGCACACGATGAATCACGTAGAGAACAGTAGAAGGACTGGTTTTTCATCGCTGTTAATATGTCCCGCTAGGATCACTCTATACGCGAGTTGTATGGATAACATCATATACACGTATAACATATCATCGTACAATTCCAAGCCAAGTAAGGAAGAATTAATCTCATGAATTCGTACGTACGTGCGCGTACACGCACCACCGCGATTACCGTGATCACCATCATCATCATCATTTCTTTTTTCCACGTCAGTGGGAGAATTTTATGGACATCAGAACCGTACGTACTACGTGAAAACCTGTTTGAGTCCGGATGGACGATACATCGCCAGTGGTTCCAGCGACGAACTCGCATATATTTGGCGCACAAACAAACCAGGGGCACCGGTCGTACAACTTTCAGGACATACCGAAGAAGTTACTTGCATAGCGTGGTGCGGCGTCGGTGAAACCAAGGTAACCGCGA